CGGGACCGCCTGTAGGCTCCATCCACCAGCTGCTTTGCCCGTTCCACGCTGCTCTGCAGGGCCTGGTCTGACAGCGTTTCCAGCAGGTCTCCGAAAGGAGCAGGACAGAGCAGGGTAAGAGCCCTGATTCCCACCCGGGAGCCTCCCTGGGCTTCCCCCCTGCCTGCGGACAGAGCAGAGCTGGGAGCTGCTGCTGCTCCTCTCACTGCCTCACAGAACAGCTTTGGTTGGAAGAGACCTCTAAGCTCATCTAGTCCAACCTGAGACCCAACGTTACAAGTTCAGTGAGAGGAAGATCTGTGTATGTAGACACACATGTATAATCCTCCCTATATATTTATATTTTTAAAATAGATAGATATTCCTCAGAGGAGTCTGAGGGATTCCCTGCCAAGCATGGGAAGGGTGTCTCCATCAGGGGAGGCTTCAAATGGCCACCATGAGAGATGGAGGCATCATCCCTCCTGCTCTCTCACAGAACAGCAGTTGCTGTTTCTTCAAGGTGTTTTGGAACCCTCATTATTGTGACTCACCCCATTTCTGTGCCTCCAGCCACAGCTGCTCTCAGACAGCCTGCCCAGGTACCAGTGGCTGGGACAACAGGCATTGAAGGCCCAGCATGAAGAGTCTGCTTTTTTTTCTCATTAATGTCTTTACCCCCCTTTCAATCCCAGGTTGGTTATAGCCACGTTGCTGAGAAATCTCCAGTGAGTTCAGGCCCTTGCCCCAAGCACCAACTGGCCAAAGCTCAGATTCATCCATCCACCTGGAGCTGAAGGTCACACAGCCTGAGTCCCCCAGTGCTTTCTCCAGCTCATCCTGCAACCTCCTGCCACCCTCACTGCTCCCCCTCCTCTTGGCAGCCCCTCAAAGTGAATGGTGTCCCCATCATCTGCTGGCTGCAGAGCAGGAGGGGACAGGCCCTGCTGGGCTTCTCCCAGGGACAGCTTTCTCCTACAGCCTCCAGGGAAGGAGAAAACAAGAGAAATCAGCATAAAGTGGGACAATATCTCCAAATTCTCCCCAGGTTCTTTAAAATATCTTCCTTGATCAACCCCAAGTTGGCCTCTTTGGCAACCCTGGAGATCCCCTGCTGCTGTGCTGAGAACTCATCTCTGACAGAATTTTAAGAAATCAGACAGGACAGTAACTGATAAAAACCTGAAACAGCCAGGAGTTATGCCACAGGGGATCCAGGCTGACTGTGCTCCTTCTGACACCTCTGCAGGACTTTGCTGCTTACAATAGAATAATTCAGGCTCTTCTAGATATCACTTGAACTTTCCTGCTCAGAAAGGCCCTTGATCTGCAAAACCTGAGGAAGGGACAATACCATAGGAAGAAGATACAGATGCATGGAACAGGCTGAGGATCACCAGCAAGCCCAGGGAGATTTCTGTCTTCATGCCTGCAAAGAAATGCAAGAAGTGAAGAAATCCAAGAACCTGTGGATCTCACCATGCACTGGAAGGGTCAGTGCCCACGCTGCTGATGGCACCTGTCATGGGACCTCATAAGGTGCCCCCAGAGCAATGCTGCTCAAGAGTGACTGTGCTGCCTGGGAGGTTCTTGCAGTAGCAGATGAAATGGGAGCTGCCTTCTGCCCCAGGCACTGGTGGGAACTCACTGCTGAGAGACTGCAGGAACATCACACAAGGGAGGAGGGGACAGAGCACACTGCCTGGTGCCTGGGGCAGGAGCAACACTGAGTGTGCAGGGAGAGCTGGGGGGCAGCAGGCTCAGCCAGGCCAGCACAGGAGGTCCTCTGCACAGAGATGTTGGGGATGATTTTACCCAAAGCTGACCAGCTCACCTCCCACAGTTTCTCCAAAACCCCATCAGAACCCCAGAGCTTTGTACCCACCACGGAACTGCAGAAAAGGCAGCCCCAGAGCCCACCCTTAAGTGCTGAGCTAAACCCATTCTGTGTGGAGGAGCCTCCAGCACCAGAGGCAACGTAGCCCAGGCACATCCTGGCTGTGCCCCTCCAGGTGGAGGACAGCAGCTCTGCCAGGCCTGCAGCGAGGTGGAAGAAGCCATCACAGAAGCAGCAGGAAGCACAGAGCTCAGGTGGATGCTCCAAACACAGTCCCAGCCCCCAGCCCCCCACCCATAGTACGAAACAAGTGTCCCAGGAAAGTAAAAGCAAAGGTGCGACGGGTCAGGCTCTCACCAGCGACCTGCTGTTCTCCCCGTGGGTCCCTCTGCCCCTGCACTTTTATCTGCAGCGTGGCCTTATCTGCAACAGTTATCTGGATCAGGGTGTTATCTGCATTGGGGTGTCGTCTGCACTGGGGCAGCAGGCACCCAGCAGAGCTGACCCACAGGGCTTGGAAACCCCCAGGGTGCAAGGTCCAAGGAACTGTAGCACCCACCGCCCTGGCAGGGAAGCTCCTCTGCACCCCCACCTGGGTAGGCAGCCTGATGCTCAAGCTGAGCTCCCCCACTTGTTTGGGGGGCAGACGTAAGGCAGAACTTGGCCACTGTTTGAGAGTCTTGACTCCTGAAGATGTCTGACAGGGACAGGCATCCTTCCCTCGTGATGCTCTTCATCCTTTGCTGCTCTTAAAGTTTGAAAAAGATGTCTGGATATCCACCTGTGGAGGGAACAGCTCTGCTCAGCACAACCCACCTCACCTCCTCAGCCCAACCTGCCCTGTGTCAGTACTGTGATCTGGAAGGCTTCATGAATACTGCATCTTGTGCACTTCCCTGTGCAGACATGGCAGCAGGAGGAAACACCTGGATGATGATTTGAACAGGCTCCACCACCTTTCAGTTGCTGATCTGGAGCAGCTCAGGTGGGTCTCACCGCTGCCCAAACCGCCATTGGGAGCTCACCTGAGCACCACCTCTCCCTGGCCAAGTACAACCCAAGCTGATGGACAAACCCTCACTATGTCACAGCTGTGCCCAAGACAAAGCAGTGGCATCCTGCTGAGTCAGGCCAATGATCTGGAGACCAGTGATGAGTGGTGTTCCTCAGGGGTCAGTGTTGGGACTGGTGCTGCTCAACATCTTTGCTGGTAAAATGGATGGTGGAACCAAGTACACACTCAGAAGCTTTGCTGACAACACTAGGCTGTGGTAGACATGTTGAAGGGAAGGGAGACCATCCAGAGGGACCTGGACAGGCTTGACAGGTTAACCTGTCCAAACTTAATTAAATTCAACAAGACCAAGTGCAAGTTCCTGCACAAGCATTAGGGCAATCCCAAGCACCAATACAGGCTGGGGGATGAAGGGATTGAGAGCAGCCTGGAGAAGGACTTGGGGGTGTTGGGTGATGAGAAGTTCAACATGAGCTGGCACCGTGCGCTGGAGCCCAGAAACCAACCATGTCCTGGGCTGTGTCACCAGCAGAGTTACCAGCAGGGCTGGTAAGGGCTGGGAGGGGATTGTCCCCTCTGCTCTGCTCTGCTGAGACCCCCCTGCAGGGCTGGGGCAGTGCTGGGGTCCCAAACACTACAAGAACATGGAGCTTTTGGAGAGAGGTCAGAGGAGGCCATGGAGATGATCTGAGGGCTGGAGCAGTTCTGCTCTGGAGCCAGGCTGGGAGAGTTGGGGTGTTCAGCCTGGAGAAGAGAAGGCTCCAGGGAGACCTGAGAGCAGCTTCCAGTGCCTGAAGGGGCTCCAGGAAAGCTGGGGAGGGACCCTTCTGTGATCCTATGAGCTTGGCCTTTCTGAGACAGAAGCTGAGGACCTGCCCGAGCTGCCACCAGCAGGGCCTGCCCAGGGCTCTTGTGCACCGGGGCCAAGTGCACCCACTTTCTAAACCCCTGTCTGTGTCCTACCTCTGCTGCCCCACACAGCTCACCCATTAGAAAGGGAGAAGGACTTTTCAAAAGCCAGTGAGATAGTTAGTGTGTATCTGTGCTGATAACTGCATTTCACAATTAGGAAGTTACTTAATTTCCTCCAAACTGCTTCAGAAACCATGAAAGTGTGAGGTTTGGAGAGATGTTGTGTCTGTTCAGTCTTCCCAGATAACCATGTATGAGGAAGGCCACAGATCTGGGTGAGATTTCTGTTGCAGACCAGTGCAAGTGCCAAGCCCTCCTGCCCATCACCTGCAGCAGCCGAGGAGAGACCCTGTGCTGCTCCTCAAGAATACCTTGCTGCAAGCAGCAGGACCTCAGAGCACAGACCTGCCACCAACACAGCAATTAAAGCAGAACATTTAGATTCTATTCGTATTTTACCTGATTTGTTTCTTGTAACCTTCTGCATGTAGTTAACAAAGCCTGAAAGCCTAAAATCTTTCTCAAGACGACTTCTCTCAGCTTTGCTCTGAAGCCTGCCTGGTGTCAGGGAACCAACTGAATTGGGGTGACTTTGCTAAATGATCAGAGTCTGTATCTATCACAAAAAATTGCCAGGAGGCAGCTCAGCACACGCCTGGGGAGCAGAGACAACATGCACCTAACATGCATATGACAGGGTGAGGAGGGAGGAGAAGAGCAGCAGGATGATGAAGCCATCCTGCAGGCACCAGTTGCCTCCAGCTCTGGGCAGACCCCAAAACATTAGTCACTCTTCTTCCTCAAGGCTTTGTTCTGCAGTTTATCTCCTGATGAACTGATAAAAGCAATGACAATTTCTTTCAAAAGACCTTAAAAGAACTAAGGAAACTCCAGCTGGTAAATTCAGTTAGAATAGCAACCAACTTCCTCCATGGCAGGGCAAGCTGAAGATAAAGTACTGGGTTGCTGATGACTTTCATGGCTGAAGTCTGCTCCAGAAGTCATGGGAACTCCTTCCAGCATTCATAGCTCCAGCAACTTCATTCCTTCAAAACTTTAAACCTGTCCTTGCCCTGAGTCCTCTCCACCACAGCAGACAGCAGGTCACTGCAGTATCAGGATCCTCCTGAAACATCTCACTCCAAGGCTCAGCAGGTTCCCAGCCAAGTCCCTCCTGTCAGGAGAATTGTGCAAATTCCCCAGAAAAGCCCACGGTGCCTTTTGTCACTCTGGCTGAATTCCCAGAGGACCAAGGTACAGAACAGCCACTCCACACAACTGACCCCTCCAGTTACACACGGGTGGCCTCTGCAGAGCCCCACATGACACCAGAGATCGCAGGGCCAAGTGCTGGTGTTTCCACTGATGGGACAATGAGGCACCAACTACTCAATGAGTCACCAGAGCAAGGTACAGCAACAAGACCTGCAGTCTCTGACCTGAGCTTTTGGGATTGCCTTGTTTTTTTTCTTTCTTTTAGCCAAAGTATAATGGAGCAATAAAGAACATAACCCAGCTGAGTTGGTCCAGCTGGACGAGATAGGAAAAGCACCTTTTTTCTTCTCCTCTCCTGGGGTCAGATGCCACAGGCAGCAGCTTTGCTCAGTTCCAAACTTCGCTCAGATCTAAACATCTTATAGGCAAACAGGTTCTAAAACTGCAACTCCTGGGAAGACCGGAGGAACACTCGGTCACCTCCATTCCCCTCTTGCCCTCAGGGAGAGACATGGAAGCAGCAAAGCCTCTTCAGTATGCACAGCTCCTAGGCTGCTGATCTCCTGGGTAAGAAACATGGGAGAAGACCCTCACTGCAACCTCTCAGCAGCTGCTGGCAGTGATTGGACAGGTCCCACTGGCTGGACAGGACCAGTCACCACTGGCACCAAATGTGCCCGGACTGTCTCAAAGTTGTATCAGATGTTTAGGAAGCCTGCAAGTAGACTGTGGGCTCCATTTACAAAGACTGTTGTGGTGGGGCTGGTCTCTTCTGGGGCCCTTTTGCCATTTTGAGACATGACAGGGAATGGGGAGGGTGTGCAGGGTGGCCTGGGTGCTCCTGCCAGCCTTGGGCCCAGCAACACCCCCAACCCACAACCCTTCTGCCAGAGGCATCAGTACCAGCACAGCCCCATGCCCTTTGCTTCATAGAATCACAAAATTCCAGACTGGTTTGGGTTAGAAGGGACCTTCAAGATTACACAATTCCAACCCCCCTGCATGGGCAGCGACACCTCCCACCAGACCAGGTTGCTCCAAGCCTCATCCTTGAACACTCCCAGGGATGGAGCAGTCACAACCTCCCTGGGCAAACTGTTCAAGTATCTCACCACCCTCACAGTGAAGAATTCCCTCCTAATGTCTAACCTGAATCTCCACTTTCCAGTTTAAAACCATTTCCCCCTCATACTATTCCTCCCTGCCCCTGCAAAAAGTCCCTCCCTAGCTTTCCTGGAGCCTCTTCAGGCACTGGAAATTGCTATTAGGTCTCCACAGAGCCTTCTCCTCTCCAAGCTGAACTCCCTCAGCCTTTCTCCATACCCAGCACCCCCTTACAGGTAACAGCAAAGAGCAGAGAACAGTCTTGCAGTAAGAACCTGGTTGTGCAGTTCCCCCAGGTTTGGTGGCACCTGCAGTGAAGATGTCCACATCAACCACATAGGGACTAAAGCTGCATGAGGCCATGTAGGCAGTGCAGCACGGCCACTCTTGTGTCCAGCTGAGGTCTGCACATTGTAGAACCACACTCAGGCACTGTCACACCACGTAGGTGTAGGTTGGATACCAGGAAGCACTCCCCCCTGGAAAGGGTGATCAGACATTGGATGGACTGCCCAGGGAAGTGGTGGAGGCACAGTCCCTGGAGGTGTTCAAGGCAAGGCTGGATGTGGCACTTAGTTCCATGGTCTGGCTGATGTGGTGGTGTCAGGTCATAGGCTGGACTTGAAGGTCTTTTCCAGTCTTGGTGATTCTGTGATTCATGTAATCACACCCTGGGGCTTTCTTCCTCCTCCCTGTTTCTCTCTGAAACAGGAGAGGCCAACTCACCTCGCAGAGAAGGCAGCTCACACCATGATCCCAGCAAAGGTGGGCTCCTGTAGGAGATGTAAGGGATTGGCATCATTTTACCCTCTGCCCACTCCCCCTTAGAAGAAGCATCACTGAGTCTTGTTTTTTTTAAGGAAAATGTATTTTTGTGAAAATATACTTTATTGTAATAAAATCTGATATTAAATAAAAACATACCATACCACCAACACTTGTGGCCACTGTGCTGGCATCATTCACCTACCTCACATTAACTGTCCTTCCCAAAACAAACAACCCACTGAAACATGCAAAGAAACACTGAAAAGGCTAGAAACCATGTAGTACAAAACTCTCCGTGGCTTAGAAAGGGATGTGTCTTAACTCAGGGAATACATCATCTGGTATGAAAATAGCTGCAAACTCTCCATCATCCCCAGCTCTGCTCTCCAAAGGCTCCAGCTTGGGAGCAACTCACTGGAACAGCCAAATGAAACTGCAAACCAGGCAGACAAAAAGTTACTGAGAAATAGATAAATAAGGAAATGATAAATAAATAGATAAATAAATAGATAAATAAATAGATAAATAAATAGATAAGGCGGGGTCCCCAGCCAGTGTGTGGTCAAGGTGAAGCAGCCAAGAGCAGCTCACCCCAGCCCACCCGAGAGGCAGAAGGATCGACCTCTCCCCGGGGCGTCGCTCCTTCCCTGGGAACCCTCGTGCTGCAGGTGATGGAGGCAGGGTGGGATGCTCCCAGGCACAGCTGCTTATTTACAGGTTTACAGTACAAGTAACTCACTTGTCAGCCCAGAGACAGCACAAGGGGATTCATGGGAATGGAAAAGTGCAAATTTTCTTTGCAGGAAGTAAAGGAATTGACACAACCTCCTTTGGACCAGAGAAATACCAGGGTGTGCAGTAAAAGGGATCTCTTCTTAAAGGGGCTGGGGCTTTGCTGGGAAAAGCCATGGAGCTAACTTACAGCCAGAGTATCATTTCTAAGTGAAAATATTTACAGGGAACTGGTGCACTGAGGACTGCATGGAGCAGGACACACTGCTGTGGAGGCAGCTGTAACCTAGAGCTGAGGCCTCACACACCCCCAGACCACAACACTGTGTTCAGAGGCACTGCCCACACTGGGCAGGCACCCATGGCTGGGCTCTACACAGGGACCACAGCTCACAGACCCACTGAAGAGTTTTCTCTATTCAACATACACTGTTTCCCTATGAAAATACTCTAATCAGCTTATTGCAGAGGACCTCTCCTGAATGTTGAGTCCCTGTATGGTCTGCACAGGCAGTCTTTACAGAAAAATAAATCCCTTGTTAATTTTTCTTACTGGACCCAAGTTTTTTGAAGATCTTTTTTCCTTTGAAGAAAAAGCCTCTCCTTTTTTTGCTCCGACCAGGTACATCACTGCATTTGAAAGCAGCCAGCAATGCCTGCTGAGGACACTGCTCATCCATGACAAGGCAGGAAGGTGGTTGAGTAGGAGTCAGTGAGGATTCACTCTGATTAACAGACCCATCTGGATTTAACTGAGTGGGGAAAAAGAGAAAACAAAAGAAAAAATCAGAAGTTAGAGCTGATGAAGGACATCATGTCAACAGAAGCCTCAGCCAGAGAACCATGCCTTCTCCTCACCAGTCCATCCTTTACCCTGCATGGCTCAGCTCCTCTATGCAGTTGCAGATCTAGTGAGGAAGTTTCCAGTAAATTTTTTTTTACCCACTGCCAAGGCCCCACCTGAGCTCAGCCATTCTGAAATTCCTTAACTTTGGGCTAAGAGCAGGACAGCAGAAAAGCCCCACTGAGGACCTAGTGAAAGATGCTGTTCTACAGCTGGAGCTACAGAGGGCACAGCTGGGTGGATCCCAATGCACCAACACCTGCCTGTGCTGGGGGAGCCTGGTGAGCTCCCAGCACACTCTGGGACAGAGGTAGGGCATTAAAAAACCCAACCTTATAAGAACATGGGCTGCACAAGACCTTCAGAAGTTCAAGGAGGCTTCTGCAACAGTGGCCATGCTCTGTAAGAGAAATTGAGACCCTTGCAAGGCTGCTCAGCCTCTTTCAGGTCTCATCACAGGAGCAGCAGGGAGCAAAGTCTGATGCTCTGTGGTGGCACCAATAGTGAAGAAAAAGTTCATGATGGAGCAGGACAGGGAGAAGTCTTGGATCAAGTGACACACAGCGACTGGCATGTGTTCCTGAGTCACCCGAGCATTTGAGAACCTTAACTGGGATCCACAGTCCCAAATGATGCACTTTATGTGGCTCCTTGGAAAGGGCTTCCAGAAGTCAGGAGGTGACTGAGTCTGGGCTCAGTTTCCCCTTCACAAAACACTAATGGCAGCTCAGTTCCCAGCAGCAGTTCCTTTCTTTCCAGGACCTCTTGCTCGGTTTAGGTGTCCGGACAGGGACCATTTCTGATCCAGCAGGGAAAGCTTTCACAAGAAGCTGCAAAGTCCACCAGAGAAGAAGCTCTAGGTTTCTGAGGCCTCAGAGAGATGTTTTCCCACTGCTTTCTCTTCCACACAGCTTTCACAGCCCAGCATCTTCCAAGCTCCCAGATGCACATCCTATTATGGCATTACCAAAAATACCATGACATGGTATGGAGCTGTGAAACGTCACACTCAAGTTTCCAGGGGTCAAAAGCAAAAGCAGCACTGTCCTACCACCCTACTGCTGATACAGCACCACACCTCCTGTGACAGAGCACAAACAGTGGCTGTGACCTGTCCTCCCATCACAGGCTGCAGCCATGCTGTTGGATTCAACCTGCTGCAGGAAGAAAAAACTTCTGGTGTAAGGTGAGCAGAAAGCTCTTCTCAGCACGTGCAACACTTCTCACAGTACAGAACAGAATCACAGAATCATTAATGTTGGAAAAGACCTCTAGCATCATCAAGTCCAACCATCAACACACCACCACGTCAACTAAACCATGTCCTGAAGTGCTACATCCACATGTTATTTTGATTGTATCCAGGGGTGGTTACTCCACCACCACTCCAGGAAGCCTGTTCCAGGGCCTGACCACTCTTCAGTGAAGAAACTGTTCCTGATATCAAATCTGAACCTCTCCTGGAGCAACTTGAAGCCATTTCCTCTCATCCTACCACCGGTTACATAAGAGAAGAAACTGACTCCCCTTCACTCCAACCTCCTTTTAGGCAGTTGTAGATAATGAGATCTCCCCTCAGCCTCCTCTTCTAAACACCCCCAATTCTTTCAGCCACTGCTCACAAGACCTGTGCTCCAGAACTTCCACCAGCTTCATTGCTGTTCTCTGGAAATGCTCCAGCAACTATCAAGTCAGTCCTGAGCAGAGAGTACAGGGCTTTGAGAGAGCTCTGTCTTGATTTCAACACACCACTCCTCCCAACTTCAGAATGTTGAGACTCAGCTGCCATCTTGCAGCAATCACTTTCAACTGTCCCAAGTGTCAGTGCCATCAGACCTTCTCTTACCTGAGCTAAGGTCTATGGCTGCAGGGACAGAGATGTAACTCCTCTCAACCTCTCCTCATAACAGTAAGCAACAGAGTAGCTGATTTTTCCTGAACTCACACTGTTTTCACCTGGAAATCTTGTTCCACACATGTTCAGAAGCACTTGTCCAACTCTTATGCATGCTGTGTTGAAAGGCCAGCTGCTGCCAAGGCTGTGCTGCAAAGGGCTTGATGGCCCAGCCTGGCCCTTGGGAAAACTGCCTGCAAGGTCACTCCTCCACCCAAGGCTGCAGCACCCACTGCAGTTCCTGTGTTTCCTGACAGCAAGCACCAGCAAGGTGAAATGCTTGATGTTGATGGCCCAAGTGCTGGTCAGGTTTGGGAAGTCTGGAAATAAACCCAAATGAATCCAGATGAACCATTTTCAGCCAGTAATGAAAGATTTATGGAGGCAAAGATAAACGTAAACCACGTCAGGACTGAACTGGTAGCCCACTGGGCTCCAGAAGCTGTTTATGTGTCGTGCAACAAAGAATCCTTGGAGAAGATGCACAACAGCAGTGGGCTATCATCAGAAGGGGTTTCACCACCATGCAGTGAGTGCTCTCCCCTTTGAAGCTCAGCAGCTTCAACGGATGTAAGAGCCATGGAAAAGCTGCTGTGCAGCTGAGGCAGCAAAGCTCTATGCCCATGAGCCCCTCAAAACCACTTTTCTAGCCAAGGTGGGACAGTTTTATGGCAGATTTGAAGTGGCCCAACAAATCTTACATGATTTCCCATGTAGACTTAATGCAGGAAAGACTGTCTGCAAAATGAGAGGCAGTTACCCAGACCAACTCACAAATGTCACAACTATTTGCTGTAATAAGGATGTTGCAGTATCAGTGTCTTTATCAAGTATGAAACAGTTAAAAGGAAGGGACCAGTAGTTTCCTGTCTGGGTGGCTGAAAGTCCTGCTGATTCCCAGCTGTGGAATATTGTGCCCAGGCAGATTTCCACACCCAGAGGGACTCATATACAAGCATATGCAGATATTCTCAGAAGTCTCTATGCAGCAGATAAGCAACAGAAGTAGTTCAGATTTATCTGGTAAGAGACAACACTAAAATTAAGGATTCTTCTCTGAGAGATCTATGAAGTAAAAAATTTTCTGCCAAAATCCTCTTAAAAGCTACCAGGGTTGATAAACAGAAGAGTCACAATAGTTTTCAGGGGTGGTTTCACTGCTGTCTCAGTATCTGCACAATTTCAGGAAAACAATGTTTGAAACAAAGAAAAACACACATCTGCTCCCACTGCCCTCCAAAACCAGGAGCCTCACCCTAACACCCCCCCCCCAAAAAAAAATTGTTTAAGTGTTATCAGATAGAACAATTATCCTCACAAAGTTGGTTTTAGGGATTAAATGTTACTACTTCTCAAGTATCGAGTGAGTATTTATTTAGGAAGGAGTAAAATCAAGACCAGATAAACCCACAGGCTGAATATGGGGTGTGCTCAGCCTGAGCAGGATCTTGCCAAGGCCAAGCAAAGCTCTGGCTGCTGATGTGCTTGAACAGAGGTAGAAGGGCCAGGATGAATTTACAAAGCAGGTATTTTCTAAACCTGAATATCCAGCACAGTGCCATCATGGTCCCCAAAACCATGACATAATTGTTCCAAAGCATTGCACTTCACGCGCTGAACAGATCACAGCTTGTCTTTAATATAGAACCAATATGGCACCAGAGGCTTGGAAGGTGGACTTGCCAGCAAAGCCCAAACCAGCCTGTCAAACTACAAGCAAATAAAAGGAGAAAACTACAGGTGCAGGACCTTTTAATATGCTAGGCTGGGTGGGAGGGTGAAGAGGTCTTCTCACGTAAACTTACATGGTTGCTCTCCATGTATCATTCATATCTATCACTGGACTCTTCTCTTCCTCATTCTCTGAAGAAAATAACCGTCACGGGTGCATAATGCAGGCAGAAATAAATACATGACATCAATTAGAATCAAACACTTTCTGAAGTGCTTTTACAATTAGTCTTTGACAGAAACTGTATATTAATGATGCAAAAAAATTCATCTGACAACTGCAGCAGTAAAGCAACTGCTCTAAGCAGGTGAGTATGAGTGTTTCAGGGCCCTACTTGTGACCATAACTTCTTGGATACTCCATGCTGTATTTTTTTCTTGCTTAATCCCATCCCCAAGTATTGTCAGTTTGAAACTTAAACTCCTTCAGCTTTTTTAATTGCCAGCATTTTAAGACTCAGAAATAATTTCAAATTAACCATGTTCCCCAGGTCAACTTGGAAAGTAAATTGTCTTTAGTCCCAGGTCTTTGGCATAGCAGCAGGGAGAGGGGAAGTGTGAAGTTCAGAGAGGGTAAAAACATCAAATCCAAGAAGTTACAAGCAATTTTAAAATCACTTATGGTCATGCTGGGGAAGCTTCTGATGATATTAGGACTGGCTTTAATACAAACCCAAAAGTCTCTGTGATACCACAGCGTGTACACATGCCCCCTGATCTGCTGGGTCTTAGCTGGGACTGGTAAACTGCCATGCTGACCTTTAGAAGACTCCAACAATACCTTTCCAGAGGCTGCCAGGCATCTCTTGCCTTCAGTGATTTGTTGCATACCCTCCACTGTCCCATCCCAAACAGCAGCAGCAGAAGTTCTCTTTGTGTTGTACATGCCAACAACACACTTCGGCCAGCGTGTTCCTTAACTCCACCGAGTGAGTATATCACTGGTGTTTGGAAAGCTGCAGGTATGGCTCTGTCACTGTGAGAGCTCATTCCAGCTCAGGGCTGGCTCTCAGAATATTATAGTGTATATATGTATATGTAACAGAATCATCATCAGGGTTGGAAAAGACCTTCAAGATCATCAAGTCCAACCATCCACCCTACAACCCCCAACCATTAAACCACCTCCTGAAGCACAGTGTCTGCCTGTTTTTTTAACAGCCGTTCCAAGGCCTCACCACTCATTCTGTGAAGAAATTTTCCTAATATCCAATCGGAACCTCCCCTGGCACAGCTTAACCCCATTTCCTCTGGTCCTATCACTGGTCACCAGGAAGAAGAGCCCAACTCCCACCTCACCACAACCTCCTCTCAGGTAGTTATAGCCAGCAATGAGGTCTCCCCTCAGCCTCCTCTTCTCCAGGCTGAACAGCCCCAGCTCCCTCAGCCTCTCCTCATAAGACACGTTCTCCAGACCCCTCATGAGCCTGGTTGCCCTTCTCTGCACCCTCTCCAGCACCTCCATGTCCTTCCAAAACTGCACACAGGGCTCGAGGTACAGCCTCACCAAGGCTGAACAGAGGGTCAGGATCATTTCCCTGGTCCTGCTGGTCACACTATTCCTGATGCAGGCCAGAACGGCACCTGGGCATATCTATGGTTCCAAGCTAGAATCAGCCAGGACAGGGAGCCTGGTGAAGCAAGGAGGCAGCAGGACAGGAGGCAGAGTGTCAGTACACAGAAGTAGCCAACACGAAGTCATGACTAGATAGTTAACGTGGATTCCCACTGAAATAAAATTGGCTTAATCATCAAGTGAATATTCTGAGTCCCCAGACTTCAGACTATGAGGAAGAGCATTTCCTGAATCAGCTGAGTACCAAAACTACCAACTAAGGCAACAGATTCCTGCTCTGCAGACCCAAAGCCAGAGCTTAACACAAGCTCTGCTCTGCTGGGTCTCTGGCAGAGAACTGGAGACAAATGGAAAGGTCTGAAGAGCAGGCAAATCTGAAACATGTCTATTTTATGGGGGTTGTTTTTATCATATTTGAAAGGCATTTCTGTTAAAAAAAAAAAGGTGTCATGAACCATAGGAAAAAAGCTTAAGAGCCTTGAGCATGCAGGGGCCAAACTGCTGCACCTAGGGGAGCAGTCACCCACAGGGACATGGCACATCAAATTGGTGTGGCAGTTTCTTCACCAGTAAAACAGATGGGATGCAAACAGGAATATTTGAAAGAAGGGCAGTTTTGTTGTTTATGTTACTCTGTTTATCAGTCACTTTCTTACTCTCCCTTAATAACACACCATTAGCTAAATCAAACCAACCCTTTACGTCTACAAGAGGCAAGATAGCTCTCCAAGCCCTGAAGGTTGCCTCAACTTCCCAATGGTTTCTGGGAAGACCTAGGCTGGGGCTGAATAATGACCCCAGCATCTGAAACAGGCCCTTGTTGCTGCTGGTAGATACTGGAGAGAAGGGTTAGACTCCGAATTCATCTTGTTCTAATATTACTGGTTCACGTTTCCTTTGGCATCCTCTGTTGCTGTACATGAGTAATTTGGGAAGAGTTAAGTCATTTTGAGAGGGAAACTGAAGAAGGAAATCCACCCTGAGTGCTTCTTTCCTCCCAGGAAAGTTAAGCCTTGTGTAACCTCAGGGTAGTTACAGCTTATTAACCTGCAAATTCCCCAGCACGGACCAACACTGATGGGCTGGGAGGAAAGGGACTGAGTATCCTAACCAGGTAAGCACAAGGGACCTGGACAACTTCTGAGTTCAGAAGATGATCCAGCAAGCTATCCACAAACCTCTCTGAGTCAGGCCTGCCATCTGCTTTGGTAAGGAGGCATCAAGGCTGTAGTGCAGAGCCTGTACCCAGAGAGCTTGAAACACCTGGAAGCAAGAGACAGGGTTACCGCTGAAGCCTCAGGGAGATCAGACAGCATTTGAAGATAGAAATGGGAGGTGGATACAGAGAAAAGGAAGAGCTGAGCATGAAAGAGAGGACAAGGAATGCTGCAGAGAACAGGACAGCTAGGGTGCACCAGGAGAAGAGCTTAACAGAGGAGGACTCAGGGCCATACACTTCCTTACAGCCCATCCCCAAAGCCAATCCAGGCCTGCTCTTACACAATTCTATGGGTCTGGCACCACTTACTGGTGCCCATAACCTCCCAAGAAGAACTGAAGGTTGAGAACATGTGAGTTGACACCAAGATGCTCCCTCCCTCCCTGACTCCCACTCTCTAGAATGACACAGCATATGAGGTCCAGGGAGGTGTCAGACATCTGACTGAACCCACTGAGGATGGACTGAATCTGGCAGATGACCAATAGCTGTTTCAAGAGTACCAGCAACATATTGCAAGGGGTTAGGCTCAACCTTGGGATTCCCTGCATCTGTGGGATGCTTTCAAAGCCTTGGGATCCACCCTATAGATCAGTTTGGGAAAACTCCTAGTGTGTTTTGAATTTATCTGGGAGCACCTCGGTCTGGATAGATCTAACTCAGGATGAGCAGAAGAGCATTGGTGTTTGTGTGTCATTAACTCCAGAACTCTTTGGCACACCTATAAGCATATCTAAGGTATTTCATGTGTCTTGGGAGCTGCCTGAACTGCTTTTGCTTGCAGCAGCATTTCACCACTGACTCTTTTATGGAATTTGCTGGTGGACCCGGGATGATTTTTGCTTACATGGCTATAGTGAGACTGACACCCCACTGGATGTTGTTGTTTTGTGCCTTTCTTTGCACTACAGGAAAGTCTTCAGGAAGAGCTCCTAACACTCTCTTCTAAGCATTTTTAGCATCTCCCATGGAATTAAGTGAGCTGCATGCAGTAATTTCAATAATTTCACCAGATGCTGCATGCTGCACAATGCGCAATCTCCAGGCACTTGCCAGTTTGGATGCCTGTCCCAGGCAGAGTCACACAACCTTACCTGGCTCTCAGCACCCAGGAGAAAAGCTTCTTTATCTTTTGAATGAAGTTCCTCCAATGTGCCTCCATCTGAAGTCACTGCTTCCAAGAAGTTAGATGGGACAAGCCCCCTCTGTTGGTTCAGCTCTCCCTGCAAGATCAAGATCCAGTTTCCACATCAGGTTTCCTGGGTGATGGAGAAATAATCAACAGCAGAGCAGCCCCATGCAGAGAGTCCCAGGCTATGGGCTGAGAGAGGCCCAGGGACACACTCCTCTTGGAAGGATCCTCAGCAAATTTCACGAGTCACATTCTTGCTTGGTTGTGGAACAATTCAGAGCCCAAAATCACAGAAGAGAGTTAAGGCAGAAAAGATGGCAGCAAGCCATGAGAAATGTATTCTAGCAATGTAGACACTTCTACAAACTGAACACATTTCCACTTCTATCCTGGAAGCAACTGAAATAGGACTGTGCCATAAGCTTTTCAAAGGCCTTTGATTTGCTCTGGTATCTATATTTGTTTTTTAAAGAACGAGGAACCACGAGTACAATTTGTAGGCACTGCCTCAGTGCTCACTGAAGTCCAGAGCTGCAAACCAAGCTTGGCTGTATTCCTAAAAAATTGCTGGCAGTTCAAAAGCAGGTGGTCGGAGGAGGCAAAACCAACCCCAGCAATGTTGTTTGGCCAACAGTACAAAATAAGTCAAACAAAACATTCACAGTGATCCCCTCCAGGCTTTATCTGGAGCTAAACCTCAACTTTGATGTGTGAGGACACATTGCTTTCTGTGCAGGAAAAGGTGGATGGTCCAAGGCCCAGGATGGTATCTGAGCACACAGGTCATTGTCAGGCACACTCCAACAGACACCAGTGCTTGCTGCAGTAGGGGGGCTGGGGGTCATCACACACTTTTATTCTTACATTGCCATTTTAGCCTCCTGTCCTGGATGACACCATGTGTCTGAGAGCTGGGTGACAAATCACCTGAGAGCAGATGCTGATTGAGGCTCAGGGAAACCTGCAGTCAAGTTATGCCAAGAAATAAACTCAGAACCATTTGGATATTGGGTTTACAGGAGAAGCGTGGGCTGCCAAAAACAATCTGCCCTGCACTAAGCAGATATGTTTTGGGGTTTTTTTTGTTGTTTTTCAAAAGCAGAGTATTTTGTTCCCTGATTTCTGCTCTCCTGCCACTAGATGGACCCCAAGGATTTCAGATGTGTCCACAGGACCTTCCCCATCCCTGTACTTACGTAATAGAACCCATCATCATCCATGGACCCAAAAACAGTGATAATGTCCCCAGCACTGAAAGTCAGTTCAGCCTGCAAAGAGAAAGAACAAGAGTCACAGGAGAAGCACTGCCTGCCATTTCTTACCAGAAACACAAAGTCACCCTGGGCTTCGTGCAAGATCTCACCCTGAGGAAGGGAGACCACTGTAATAAGACTTGCAGGACCAGGATACAAAAGAGTAAGTGAAGTGTGTAACAGAGGAATTCAGTGCTAATGAAACATTTCATAAATTAAGACAAGAGCAAAGCCTGTTTCTTAGAGCAATTTTAGTAGGGCTTCCATCACAGAATGAGAATGTTGGGGTTGGAAGGGACCTCCAAAGATCAAAGTCCAACCCCCCTGCCAGTGCAGGACCAAAACTAGGGCAGGTCACTCAGAAAGGCATCCAGACAGGTCCAGAAAGTCTCCAGAGAAGGAGACTCCACAACCTCTCTGGGCAGCCTGTTCCAGGGCTCTGTCACCCTCACAGGAAAGAAGTTCTTCCTCATGTTTGGATTAGATGCAGGGAATGCTTGAAAAGCAAGTCCTTAGAAGACTGGTCCATTAAATTGGAGCTAAGCCTTCTTTCTTGAACAAAGACCTACACAGGTATATAACACAGAAGAAATGCTCCAAGACACACTCATATCAAGTACCAGAAGTGCATTCAAACCCTTAAGCAGGTTTTTTCCTTTTAGCATAGGGTGCCCTAGATCAGTTGCTAACAGTAGGGGCTCCTTCCTCCTGCCCCAGATCTGCCTAGTCCTGTCTAATCACTAGAGGATGCTCTGAGGCCATGAAATGCTTACAGAGATCCACTAAGACACTAAGACATGGAAATCATCTGGGGTAAATTGCTTCATATTCTCCACAGATAACTGAGTGATGTCATCAGAGAATGCATGAGAGAATGTATGAGTGAGCTACATTTTATTACTCCAGCCAACTCCTTTTAAGCAGCGGTATTTTCAAGCCGTAATTGTCTCTGTTTTGACTGAAGTGCTAAGAGATTTGGGACAGGAGGAAAAAGAGAAAGGAAAAAGAAACCTAGAGTAGGCTAAGCAGTGAGCAGCTCGTGGTTACCTCTACATCTGCATTTGGAGAGCTCTCCTTAGGGTTATAGTCAAAGACAGCCACCATACTTCGAGAAGTCAGCAGTTCAGCTTCAAAGTCTTTCTGCTTCTGTCCTGCAGGACAAAAATAAAACAAAATACCCTGAGCTGGAAGTTCTAGGATAAAATCCCAAATCAAAGCAACTCCTTCACCAGTCTTGGAGTGGACTGAGCAAGAAGAAAACAAGGAGGAAAACTGAATGGAAAGATCTTGGAGGTCCTAGATACATTTGGTAAAGCAGTTTTCTGATCTCCTGCATCACCTTGCAAGCACAAAAGTGGGGCATCTCCCCGTTACAGCATTCTGGTGTCCTGTCTATATATAGAGGAATGTTGTATTTCATGTTTTCTATTTATACACACACGAGTGTGTGTGTACAGGCCTGCTCTGAGTCTACAAAAGCAAAGTCCCATGTTACAGAAAACACGCATTGCCCAGTCCTTCATCTTACAGATTTAAGACCTGCTTCAGGTCAACAGTGGATGGGCCAGCAAGGGGTTTGCAAGCTTGGCTTCTGTGGGCATCAACAGATGACTACACATGTAAGCAGAGTGAGCACCTTCTCAAGGGACCTTGGATTTTAAGGACCATGACATCAGATGAATGAGATTTCCCTGCTCCTTCAAAGCACAACCACACATACTCTCTTAGTCAAAGGCCACTGCACCCACTACTAAATTAAATTAAAAGAACTAAAACTCTCCCTCCATGAGAATGACCATGTTCTTACAGTGCTCTGAAGCATCACTCCAGGGTCTTGCATTGGCCCTTGACCACAAAACACATCTGAATTACAATCATTCATGATCTACTCACAGTAAAGAAGAGCAATTCTCACCTGGGTGAGACTTGTACTTCTCCTTACCCAGCCCTGCTGAGGGAAGAAAATGCCTCATCAGAGAGAGTTCATCTTTCAACAGTGACCACATGACACAACTGACAAACAATAAAAAGAACAAAGAACAAGGCAGCAAACAACTGAAGCAAAATGTTCATGCAACTCAACGTCTACACCAGTAACCATGACTCAAGAACATCACAAGAAGCAGGTCAAGCTACAAAACTTTGGAAGGCATCACTGTTGTAAAAAACAACACCAGCACAGGGATGGCTTTGTTTTCCACTTCCTACCAGTTATACAGAGACAAACATCTGAGGGTCTTGTAAGCAAGGAGTAAAAATTCAAGGCAGTCTGTGATCCTATTGCAAAAATCAAAGTGGAAGCAGTGGGTGACACAGACCTTTCTTGGAGCGTCTGGGTTTTGGAGGAGGCACCATTTGGCGGCGTGGAGGTGGAGAAAATGTGCCATTTCCTTAATAAAAATCCAAAAAAGCAAATAAATAGACAAGAGAAACAGACAGTGAACAGAAAGTGAAACGCATCTTGAAGACTGCACAGGCAACAGAGCAGCAGGACATGCCTCCCCTGGGAAGCAGACATTGTGACTTTGATGGGCAAAGCCCAAATCTCCATTTCTTGTATGTGGATTCAGATGAGGCATGATCCACATCCCAAACACACACAGAAATCCACGTTGTATTTATGCCCTTCAGTCACACCACAGCACACAACAGACAACCTTCACTGCATCTCATCTTTCCAAAGCAGCATCATAAGGATAAAATAAAATCTTGACCATTAACCCTTGAAAAATTGCCAGGGAAGGTGCACCCCATCAACTCACTCAGGTGGGAAGGGAGCTCTCCAGCTAACGGTTCTACACTGAGCACGGCCAGGACTGGCTGAGTCCCTAGATAAGCCTGCAGAAGGAGTTCCCAGAACAAACTCTCCAAGGCAAATCCTTAGTTGTGGGGCTGTAATTTGGGTTTGCAGCAGCAGGAAAACACTAGAGGCACACAAAGCCTGGTTGCCTGTGGCAACAAGGTTCACACTCTGTCTATCTTTCACTGCCACCAACCTCCTGAACAATTGAAAACAGTTCAGGAGCAGGTCAAGCAATTAACACTGGTAGCAGAGTAGAGGTACAGGATGAGAGATGGGAGGGATAAGGGACAAGTATTGGGACACCAACGTGTTGCCAGCAGTTTCAGGGCAGCTCACAGCCACTGAGTTGCAGCCTGGCTCAGCGTGAGCTGGAATGGCTGCACAACCCAGGGGGGTTTCTCTCTTCTCCCTGAGTACAAGTACCAAGAAATAGGGAAGCTTCTGCAGCTCCTAACACACTGACTTTGGAGAGTAAGGAGAAGCCTAGGGACCAGGTCTGCTCCTTGTACACTCCTGATTGCCTACTGTCCAAGACTCTTCCTTCTCCTTCCCCACAACTTTCTCCATCTTTCTGCATTCCTAAGTCACAGATTCTCCCACCCAAGAGCAGGGTCAACTCTGTGGGTTCAATTGCAGACTCACAAAACAAAGGAGAGAACATAGAGGCAAAAACTCTCGTTCACACCCTTCATCTGCTCTTCAAACTTTTTTGTTTCGCCTTCTCTCCCAGCCTCCCCCACACTCTGTTTTGAGTTCACAGACACAATTACTCAGGCACAGGAACAGCTCCAGCAGCTGCAAATGCAGCCTCGGCCAGCGCTGCAGCAGCCAGGTGTGAACTGAGACCTCAGAACATCTGCATCCATCAAGACCACCGTGGTTTCCACAGCTACTAAACAAGCTTTCAGATCCTGGGGACCAGCCCACGAGACCATTTTTGATGGACTGCAGTGGCCACACAGATTGACAGCAAGACTGAGCTTTCCACAGTTCCGCAGAGAAATGTGCTGACAGCAGCACAGCCCACACAAAGGAGATAAAGTACCTGTGCTCTCCCTTGGTCTGTCAGCTGGTAGGAACCCTTGCTTTAGGAGCTGCTTCTTGATTTCATCACTGTCCACCTGGACTTCTGATACCATGTTGCAGGGAATGTACCCTTCCCTTCCTCCACACTGACCCCTGTAGAAGCCATCAGCATCCTTGTCTCCACATACCTGAATGGGAAAAGACAGTCCAGAGACTGTTACAGGCACTGAGACGCACAGAGAGGGGAAGCTAAGGATACTCCCAAGAATCATCCAAGGGTCTGCCTCCCAAGGGTTACGCTACCCCTGAAACATCAGATGGATCCATAGAGTAGGATACATCCACTGTGCTCTTACTTTCAGGATTTGTCCCTCCTTAAATGGAACCTCCTCTTCTGCTGCATCAGGGTTAGGAGACATAGAAATGGGATCGTAGTCAAAGAGAGCCACAAATATTCTAATGCCATCATCTTTAACAGAGGTTTCTGATGTGGTGCTCTTTGGAGGATCTGTGTGCAGAGAGAGGACACACCAGAGCTAAGGTCAGCACCACTGCCCTGCCCCAACCTCCACGGCCTGCTGGCCTCTCCCCTGCCATTCCCAGCAGCCTTCCTCTCTCCTGCACCCTCTCCCCGTTGCCCACTCACCTGGACAAGGGAGCAAAGGTTTCTGCATTTGACTTCTTCTTGTGCTCTTGTTCCCTCTCCTGCTGGGAGCCTGCCAGGCAGCTGTGCCAGGTGGCTCCTGGCCCCTGTGGTCTTTGTTACCAGGTGCCTGCAACAGGAACCACCAGAGAGTTAGTAGCAGCTTCTGTCTGTAGACTTGTGTGGCCAGTAAGAAGCCCAAAAGCACCTCGCAAAGAGCAGAGCATCCAAATGCAACATTCCTCTTCAGGGACACTCTAGAGCTGAAAGCACCAAGGGAGGTGGAAACCAGAACCAAGTACAGGCCAGCACCCTTGCCAGACACCAGTGACAACCCCTCTGGTGAGCATGAGGATGCAGGAAAGGGCATTTCAAGGAGGAAATGACATTGCAGTCATCATCTACAACAAGCTTTCTCAAATCAGCTTATTTCACCAGGGGCTTTCATTTGGGTCCTACAGCCTCCTGCTGTGGGAAGGAAGACCCAGTGAGAAAAGGAATACTGCATTGGTGACACTCAGTTAGCAGGAAAAGCAGAAACAGCTCACAAGAAAAGCCACAGAACAGCACAGAACTACAGAATCTCTCAAATATTCTTCCAGACAATCCTAGAGGAGGGTTCTTTCTCTGGACAACACTGAACAAAGCAAGATACAGGCAGGCCAGGGAAGCAGAGGGAAGCCACTGCAAGCTGCTTCAAAGCCAGAATAGGAAAAGTCACCCAACCCTTTTGTGCAAGGAGGTGCTACGTATCCCCTTCGAAGGATGTTGGAGCCTCCTTCTCCAGCCAGGTGACTTACAGTCCAGCTCCCAGCTCTGCTCCTCAGAACTGCTCTCACATCTCAGCACTTCCTTCTCCTGGCAGTAGGATTGGAGGCGTTGGCTTGGAGACCCAGCCCACTCCATACTCTGCTCTTCCATCATCTCCAGTCTGGTCAGGTCCCTTCCACCATCCATGTTGGTAACTTCAGACTGATCAGAGCAATCTTTCCAGTCCCTATGACAGCTCTGGGACCTTTCTGGCCACTGCCTGCTGTCAGGGAGGGATGTGCAGCTCAAATCCTGATCATCTTCAGAGTCATACTCAATATCTATTTCCAGGCTCCTGGGGCTGGAGCTGTGAGCTGCTGTCACAGCAGGTTCTGTAAACCCTGAAGCCACTGCTTTCATGGGGATTTTTCGTAAGGTGCCTTGTCTGGCACGACTGTACATATCAAACCCATCCTTACCCTCAGCACTGCTCACCACGTTCAGCTCCTCCCTGAGGCTAGGAGCTCTGTATAACCCACCTCCCATCTGGCTGCAGTTACCCAGCAGACGACTGCAGTGCTCTGTTAAATCATTCTGTCTCTTCCTACCCATCTCGGTCCGACTCCGGATCTTCTCTCGATAATTGTTCCCCTTCTTTTTGCTCCAAGCAAGACTTGCCCCCGTCCCAGGCTTTGGATCATTCTCCTGGTAGCCCCAGGAGTTCCAGTTTGCCTTCTTCTGACTCCAAGTCAGCTGGACAAAGGCAGGATTCCCGTGGTCCACATCCCCCCTGCTCTCATTAACACCACACTCCTTCTGTGGAGTCTGAGTGGACAGATCTGTGAAGGAATTACTCCCATCTGCCTTTAGAAATGTCTCCTTGTTAAGCAGCTTCTCTGTCCTTCCTGAATGGCAGGTAGGTGTTTCTAAGGAGTCTTGAGGATTTGCCTTTTCCTCCATAACATGCTTCTCATCCTCCTCTTCATCCTCATCTTCAGTCACTTCAGGGATGCTGAATAATTTCTTGCTGTGGTTTTTCTGAAGTGGGAGCTCTAGGATCCTCTCCAGAATCTCCTCATCGCTGTCAGTATCACAAAGATCCATCTGTACCCAGCCCCCGAGAAAAGCCACAGCCAGGACAAGCAAAGGGAAAAAGAGAGGAAATAAACATTAAAAAGAAAGGTAAAGTCACAGGTGATTCCCTCCCAGCACAGTGGAATGGAGCAGCAACTGTGGTCTGCAGCGAAGCAAGAAGAGAAAGCAAGAGAGAGTGATGGAGCTTCTGGCAAGGGACAATCAGATGACCTAGCAAAGCAGCAGAAAGCAAGACAGGCCAGTGCATGGAAGAGCTCCCCCTCAGCCTCTGCCTCTACACACACAACTATCTGCAGCACCCACCCCTACACAACCCACTTGATTGCCAGCAGTTGCAGCATCCCCAGCTGCAATGGTGCCAGGGCAGCAGCAGCACAGCCCCCCTGCAGCTACTCACTGCACATTCCTCCCTCTGCAGGGGTGAGTCTTAGTCTGTGCTCACACCAGGACCCACAGTCCTACCTTACCTCTCTGTCCCCACACAGGAACAGAAGGAAGTGACCCTGTGCAGCAAGATACCCCTTGGAGATGCTGCTGCCATGGCAGGACCTTCCCTGGGCCTTTCCCATTGTTTGCCAAGGTCTAGCTCTGAAGCACATTACTGTCTGCATACCCAGGTGAACAGAGTTGCCACAAATACTCATGAAAACCCTTTCCCTTCAAGGTGTCACACAGACTTCTATGTCTCTTGCAGCTGGGTAAGAGCCTACTAGGCTACAGAAAACTTTTGGGAAAACACTGCTGCATTTTAAAATCTCTCTTGGACCAACTGCAGAATGTATGTTTTTTTTCTTCTTACCACATTTGTAGTAAAATTAACAGGTAGAATCACAGGTGAATAATTTAATAAAGGTTGGAAGATACCTCTGGAGGTCTCCCATTCAACTTCCCTGACAATTTATATCATAACATCTTCTAAAACCTTTACAAATCGTTTACAAAGGATGTGTAGCTATCTATGTCTAAAAGCTGTAGGCAAGAGCAGGCCTGTTCAGAGATAATTAAAAGTTGAACAATGGGGGGGGAGGAAAGGCAGTTGTAAAATGCCTAATGTTTACTCCAAAGTCCATAACTTTTTCCAAGCAAAAGGTGGTCTTGAATTATATTTTGAATTGGTTGAAGGGAGTTCCAAAGGTCTCCAGTTCAATCTCTTAATAGTAGCAGGACTGTTGCCAGCAGTAAGCCAGTGTCTTTCCTTAGCTGAAGCATGAAAACACCCAAGAACAGAGATCCCCCACCTCTGGGAACCTGTCCCAGGGCTGCAACACCCTCCTGGGAAAGAGGTTTGTACTCATGTCCCACATGATCCCCCCAGACAAGTGATCCAAGACTGCTGCCTCTTTTTATATTAACTGCCATGAACAAGATGACTTTGGCTCTCACATCCTTCAAACTACCCTTCAAATAGTTGTACACAGCTACCAGATCTGATAGAATCATAGAATCACTAAGGTTGGAAGGGACCCCAAAGATCATCCAGTTCCAACCCCCTTGCCATGAGGCAGCGAACCCACCAGACCAGGTTGCACAAAATCTCATCCAACCTGGCCTTAAAAACCTCCAGGGATGGGGCATCAACAACCTCCCTGGGTAACCTATTCCAGTTCCTCACCACCCTTAGAGTGAAGAATTTCTTCCTAATATCTAACCTAAATCTCCTCCTCATCTCCCAGTGGCCTCCTCTTTGCCAGACCAAACAAGCTCAGATTCCTCAAATCCTCTTTACATGACATGGGCTAACAAGTTAGTCGCCCACCTTCTTAGCTCCTGTTAGGAATATGCAGAACTTACAATGCAACCATAAAATAAGTACAGTGAGACTTATTTTTGTTGTTTTACAAAGTTGTGGGTTTTGCTTTTGAGTTTTAATATAACAAACGGTTTGCGAAATTAAACAACTAATTTGAGATTAAACATTTTAAAAACAGCACCTCTCCACTCTTTCATCCCTCAAATCTTGAAAGAGATGGCTGAGATGACCCAAAAAATGTTACTAAATGTGCAGAATCCTAAACGGAGGGGGAGGGAGAGTTCAGTGTTTATCTTCCAGAAAAAAACACCAAAACAAAACAAAACAACTTCAAACAACCAAAGCACAAACACATTCAGGCCAATAAAATATCCCAGAAGACAACACAACAATAGGTGTTCTTGGCTGTTCTTATTTCCTCTTTTCTCCTTCCAGGGAAACTGTTTTTCTTCCATTTTTTCCCAGTGCCATCTCAACAACTGGAAGCACTTCCAGCAACTCCTTCCCAGGCAGACCCGGCACCTCAGGCCACCTGACTCTTCTGGGGCTCCTGACACACTGCACTGCAGATGCAACCTCCCCAGCTGGAAAGCAGAACCCCTTTCAGGAGAAAAGGAAATATACTCCAAAATCATTATCTTGTCTGCTACTGATCATTGAGTGCTTACCAGACCCATCCCATCTGTACTGCAGGTCAGCACCAAACAGACCAGCATCAACAAACTACAGATGTTCTTTGGTCACATGGAAATAAATTATGGCTCTTTCCTGCTATATCATATTTCATACAGTCTTGGAATGGTTTGGATTAGAAGCAACCTCAAAGATCATCTATTTCCAACCCCCCTGCATAGGCAGGGACACCTCCCACCAGCCCAGGTTGCTCCAAGCCCCATCCAAACTGCCCTTCAACACTTCCAGGGTTGGGGCAGCCACAGCTTCTCAGGGCAACCTGTTTCAGGGTCTCACCACCCTCACAGGGCAGAATTTCCTCCTCATGTCCAACCTCAGTCCCCCCTCTTCTAGTTTTAATCCATTCTCCATTGTCCTCTCACTCCTCCCCGCCCTTGTCCCAAGCCCCTCCCCAGCTTTCCTGCAGCCCCTTCAGGCACTGGAAGCTGCTCTAAAGTCTCCCTGGAGCCTTCTCTTCTCCAGGCTGAACACCCCAACTCCCTCAGCCTGTCTCCAGAGCAGAGCTGCTCCAGACCTTGGATCACCTTTGTGGCCTCCTCTGGACTCGCTCCAACTGCTCCATGTCCTTCCTGTGTTGTGGGCTCTAGAACTGGACACAGTGCTCCAGGTGTAGTCCCACAAGAGCAGAGTAGGGGATGAATTTCCTACACAGCTTTCTAATTTCTCAGTCATTCAGTCTCAATACTTTCCCTCATGCCTTAAGTACCATAATTCACATGATCACGGTCATGCAGCTTCAAGCACATTACCGCCACAGATTAATTGGAACACATGAACTGGCTTTAACTGTTCCAACTGGTGACATCAATTAACATGATCACTCCCAGCTCAGCTCAGCCACTGTTTCCCCACTTCCAGCAGCTGAGCTGCAAAGCCACTGCTCCACTCCTGCAAGCCATGGTAGAATCATAGGGGTTGGAAGGAACACCCAGGGCAGATCACACAGGACCATGTCGACAGGTCTTGAAAGTCTCCAGAGAAGGAGACTCCACAACCTCTCAGGGCAGCCTGTCCCAGGGCTCCATCACCTTCATAGGAAAGAAGTTTCTCCTCATGTTAAGGTGGAATTTCTGTGTTGTCACTTGGTGCTGTTCCCCCTCGTTCCATCACAGGCACCACTGAACAGAGACTGGCCCATTCTTGACACCCACCCTACAGATATTTATAGACATTAATCAGGTCCCCTCTCAGTCTTCACTTCTCAAGACTAAACACCGCCAGGTCTCTCAGCCTTTCCTCGTATGACAGATGTTCCAGTCCCTCATCACCCTCGTAGCCTCTGTTGGACTCTTTCCAGCATATCCCTGTCCATCTTGAACTGGGCAGCCCAGAACTGGACACAATACTCCAAGTGAGGTCTCACCAGGGCAGAGTAGAGGGGGAGGAGGACCTCCCGTGACCTGCTGGCCACAGTGTTCTTAATACCTCCTGAGATACTGTTGGCATCCATTCCTACAGAGAGTACCAGGGTCAAAGCAAAATAAACTGCACTAAGTTATTCACCTGTGGCAGCACTGCCAGGACTGAGGTCAAAAGGTGACATGTCTGTTTTGCCTTAGTAGGGAAGGTGGGGTGATACAGGGTGGGCTTTACAGATTCCTGTATGTTCACTGTGTATGTCTGTATCAAGAACTTGATCAATAGGATTGATTTTTAAGCCAGGGTTCTGAAGTCCACATTCCCTTGTCTGCTTTTTCCAACTAATTAAACCCCGGGTGCATTCATGACATATAAACACCCTTCCCTCTTACAAAGGACTGGAATTTTTACTAGCTTAAGATAACACTGGGAGTAAAAGCAGAGCAGGAGGGGACTCAGCCAAGCACTCCTGAGGGTGCTGGGCACCAGCACCTCCTCCTGTGAGCTGATGACATGGGATGGCTGCACTGGTGCTCCCCACAAGCATTACTCTGCTACACGTTACCTTTTCCCCATTCTCCTGGGAACATGGCTCTCTCTCATCCCCTTTCTTCTCTTCCAGAGCTTCTGAAGACAGCTCATCTTCTTCCTCCTCTTCCAAAATATCTGAAAGGTCAGAACTACGGTTGTGCTCAGCAAAAAGAGTCAGCTGCCTTCTTCCCATTTCAGACATTTTTTCTTCTTGCTATGAAAAAGCAAAAGAGATTTCCTCAGTCCTCTCGGGGACCCTGTTTCAGCAACAAACTGCATTTTACCTTCCTCCAGCACACACACAACTAAAGTGGCAAGAAATCCAATGGGCAGCACTTGGCGCAACAACTGGCATGTGTGCACCCACAGACACACACAACTGGCAGACACGTTTTATAGCCTGCAAAAGAACAATACTGCACCAGATTGTAAAACCTTGGGGTGTCAAATACCACCTACATCCCTCCATGGGATGTTTAGCTTCCACCAAAGCCAAACAAACCTCTCTTTTCACTCTGGAGATTTCTTTCACCACTTCCTTGCCAGGTGACAACCTCAGGAACTCCTGGCAGCTGCTCCCATTCACACTTCTGTTTTGTGAGGTGCCCTCTGTCCCCTCAGCCTGACTGGGGGAGGGCAGAGGCTCTGTGCTCAAATGTTTCTCCTTTGCCTCTTTCTCTCGTTCAGCATTGGGATCTTTTGGTGACTCCTCCACAGAGCATGCATGGCAGGTCTCCATACAGATCTGCAGACTACTGTTGGGTGGGCTTTCCAGCTCTGGCACTTTGGTTGCAGATTGCTCCATCTGGGGAACAAACCAAACCAAAAAAAAAAAAAAAAAAGTCATCACAAACAGTGAAACCTGGGGGAGATATCACCCCCTACTTGTGCACCAAAAGGGGCCCCTGAACACTCCAATCTCTCTGACACTGTTTTGGCAGGTGATCTGCAGCTAAGAAGGCTGGCCAGCCCTGGAACAAACCTCCCTGTCATTTGCTACAAGTAGAAAAATGGTCTTTCCACTGCTGCAGCTCTGGCCACCAGAGGTGGCTCATGTCAGCCACAGAGTGTATTGACAATCACCAGTTCTACAGCAGCAACAAGAGCTCAAGAAATACAACAAGGTAGTTTCCCATCCTCATCTGCAATGTTCTACACTCCAGCCTGCAGGTTAGCCTGAGTGAGGACACCACCCCAGCACCTCCTGCTGCTGGAAAGGACTGTAAAGAAAAGGGAAATTAATGAAGAAGAATGTAAAGAGAGCACAACTGTTGTCTGCCACAGAAAGATCACAGACTCGTGGAATGGTTTGGGTGAGAAGGGACCTCAAAGATCATCTGGTTCCAACCCACCTGCATGGGCAGGGACACTTCCCACCAGACTAGGTTGCTCCAAGCCCCATCCACCCGGGCCTCCAACCCTCCCAGGGTTGGGGCAGCCACAGCTTCCCTGGGCAACCTGGGCCAGGGTCTCACCACCCTCAATCTCCTCCTAATGTCTATATCTGAATCTCCCCTCTTGCAGTTTTAAACCATCACCCCTTCTCTGATCACTCCATGCCCTTGTACAAAGTCCCTCCCCAGCTCTTCTATAGCCCCTTCAGGTACTGGAAGGTGCTCTATGGTCTCACAGAATCATCAGAGTTGGAAAGGACCTCTAGAAATCATCTAGTCCAACCCCCCTGCTAAAGCAGGATCCCCTAGACCACATTAGCCAGGGCTGCATCCAGGAGTCTCTTGAATATCTCCAATGAAGGGGACTCCACAGCCTCCCTAGGCAGCCTGTTCCAGGGCTCTGTCACCCCCACTATGGAGAAGTTGCCGCTCATGTTCAGATGGAACTTCCTGTGTTCCAGTTTATTCCCATTGTCCCTTGTCCTGTTGCTGGGCACTACTGAAAAGAGCCTGACTCCATCCTCCTTGCACTCACCCTTTACTTACAGACATAGGCACCCTCAGCCTGCTCTTCTCCAGGCTAAAGAATCCCAACTCTATCAACCTTTCCTCTTCAGGGAGATGCTCCAGCCCTCTGATCACCTTTGTTGCCTTCTGCCAGACTCTCTCCAGCAGTTCCCCATCTCTCATGGACTGGGGAACCCAGAAATGAACAAAATATTCCAGATGTGGCCTCACCAGGACAAAGCAGAGGGCGAAGACAACCTCCCTCAACCTACTGGCCACACTCTTCCTAACACTTTCCAAGTCACCATTGGCTTTCTTGGCCACAAAGGCACAATGCTGGCTCATTGTTAACTTACTGTCTACCAAGACCCTTCTCCTCTGAGCTGTCTCCCTAGAGCCTTCCCTTCTCCAGGCTTAGCAACCCCATCTCTCTCAACCTGTCTTCACATGAGAGGTGCTCCAGCCCTTGGATCATCATGGCTCTCCTCTGAACTTGTTCCAAAAGTTCCATGTCATTCTTATATTGAGGGCTCCAGAACCAAATGCTCAGTGGCATTTCATTCCATTCCCCAAAATGATCTGTCCTCCTTCCCAGCACTTGAGGTGCTGGGGAGGAGATGTAAGCACTTACCTGCACCTCCATCCCTTCACTCAGGCCTTGCAATTCTGCTTCCCTTGAGGAGACAGGCTCCTTGCCTGCCCCGGGGAGCACTGTACTGCCAGCTTGCTGAGAAGGTACAGTCAGACACTCCTTGTCTTGTACAGCATCGGATCCCTGTGGAGAAGTGCCTAAAACCTCCACCAAGGAAGCACTGGGAGAGGAAAGGTGTGGTGGTGAAGAGGCCTTCTCTGGCAGAGACTGTGCTGAGCCGTCATGGCTGGAGGACAGCTCAGCCAATTTGGCATCTGAGCTACAAGTCGAAACTTTCTGTTGAAGCAGGAGTGCAGCTGTCTGGCGTGTGGGTGGGTTGCGTGCAGGCAGAGAGCCCCTGGGTTCTCCACGGGGTAGTCCAGTGGTGGAAACAGCAGAATCTGAAGGTAAAGAGCAGTGAGAGGCTTGCAGCAAGACTGAGGAAATCTGGGCTGGAACTGAATCCACCGACTCCCCGTACTGAGACATTGTTCTCACAGAAACCTCCTGGCACACCTGGAACATCTGCAGCTGGGACAAGTCCACCAGGACACTCCCAGCTGTTGGAGAAGTAACTTCTATCATCTGCAAACAAAACAAGAGCAAGCAATTACTTACTGTGTGCAGCTCAGCCCCTCTGAGAATGACATTTCCTGAGCCCAAAGTTAATGACAGACCCCGAAACTGAGAGCAGGTGTGCAGAATTCTCATGCTTCTGCACAGTATCAGGGAAGAATGAAGAGTAAAGAGAAACTCTTACCTTAACCATTTGAGAAACTGGATTTTTGATAAAATATTACTCTAGGCTTTAACTCTCCTTGTTCACTACCCTTTAAAAGGCTATTCATTTTTTTGGCCCCACTTTTGCCTACCTTCCCAGATTCCTCCTTTTTAGACCCATGTAGAAGAAAAGGCATTCACATTATAAAAGAGAAGCCAGTACCACTCTGTTTTGCACTGTGCTCCTTTAAACAGCTGTGGCTTCCCTCTCCCATGGCCAATGGTACAACATCATGTGTGCAGAAGACCATATGTGCATGGGCCACTTTTAATCCTTGGAGGTTCTCTACCAATACTGGTACTGGACTCTCTGCTGTTTGTACACCTCTCCCTTTGCCTGTCCCTAATTTAAGACAGAGCTGGAGAACTACACCTCACTCCTCACAGTCCAGAGCCAAGCTGCATGTGGTGGCAAGATTGTGTAGTTGCACTCCAGCCACGCCTTTCACACTAATTGCTCATTGGGCTTCTTGCTTTTCCAGAGATCAACCTAGTGCCTCGGGTGAGACAGAGGAGGCTGACACTAATTGCCTTATTTTACAGATTGCCTAGCTTAGTTGTATCTAGAACACGCCAAAAACCTGGAGAGATGTCTTTATATGGTGTAAATCAGTGCCGTGAATGGGATGGGAGAGGAGATCAGACGTCCTGCTACAACCAGTCAAAACAAACCCAAGCATTGTCTGTTCTCAGATATCATTCCTTTCCAGGCCAAGGACTGTCACTGCCTCCTCCTGGCATGCTTATTGGATCAAGCTTTGCAGGACCGGAGACTCTGCAACTGCCTGCTCCCCCTGACCCAGGCTCCAGCCACCCCCTTGCAGGAAGGTCCTCACAATACCTTCTGCCCATCCGCGTACACTGCGTAACCTGTGACTCGAACTCCATTGGAAGATCCTTCAGCATCAATGGTGACAGGCAACCAGCTGATAACAAGGATACCTGGTGAGGGACCAGCTTCCACCTGGACATCCAAAGGAGCATCAGGAGTGCCTAGAAGAGACCAGATTTTCCTCTTGTTTACCTGACTACAGCATTAAGCTCAGCTAAACTCTGGTTAGAATCAAAGAGAAACTTCCCACACCAGACCTGCCACCGCAGAAATGTCCTAGAGCAGTTTCCCTAGTCTTGGGAAATGACAGACAGAACCAGAGAAAATAAGGTGCTCTTGTTCTGTGAAAGCTTCAAAGCACAGAAAACAGAGCTTTGCAAAAGTAGCTGAGGCCAAGAGGCAGAGCAAGGTCATGGCAAACCAGATCTTCCACACCCAAGAGGCATGCTGCACAATCAGCTAGGAGGGTGTCTTCCCAGGGCAAATGAAAGCAAAAGAGATAATAAATTAAAAAAAAAAAAAAAAAGGGAAGGAAAACATGAAGACAAAACAGAATAGCAGCTCAGGCTTTGGGACCTAATGAGCTTTGCTTCCCTTCACCTCAAGGCTTCACAGCAACATCAGGTGCAAGCACACTGCTCTGAGCACTCCATGCACAGGGCAGGACTGCACCAGTACCTGCTTGTGGGGTAGTGAAGTGTATTTCAGCTGAGTCCTGCTCCTGCCCTTCAGGGACCTCTTCCCAAGGGGTTTTCAAGGGTCGGGCCTCCAGCTTGGCAACATACTGAGTGCTAGGCAGCAGGTCACGGAAGGTGTACCAGTAGACCCCAGGTTTTGTCACGTCACGTTCCTCCCCATTGAGGTACACTGCATGGTGGTAATTGCTGTTGCAGGGAAGCCACGTGACCTCAGCTGATGTGGCAGTGACACTTCTGACTTTCAGCATTGTTGGTGTCATGGAAAAATCTTGCCCCACAAAGAAAGTGCATCGCAGTTTATCAGAACTGCCTCGCTCTGTCACAGTCTGCACAGATACACGGTAAGTCTTTGTCTTCAGATCCAGCTTTTCAATCACTGCTTTGGTCTGAAAGCTGCTCTTCACATTTTGACGTAACTCTTCATCCACATAGATGTTGTAGCTTTGTATCTCTGGGCAGCCAGCTGGCAAAAGTGGTGGTTCCCAGCCTACAACTATACTTCTGGCAAGCTGCTTAATCAAAGTCAATTTTCTTGGGTAAGGCACTGCTGTATGACTAACAGGTTCCTCCTGGTCTCCTTCTGCTCTACTGGCCAATGGACTGATGCTACTCTCTTCAGTGGAGATATCACTCTTATCTCCACTGCTGGCGCTTGCACTGACAAAACTTTTCTCCTGGTATGAACTATGGGTGAGATCATTCAGCTCTGAAGGCAGAAACGTCACGAGGTCATCATCTGAAACTCTCTCAACAAAATTGGAAGGGACCAGCCCTCGCCGGCCATCCATCAGCTCCCCTAAATGAAAAAACAGGAAACCTGTTATCACTGCACCTACTCTTCAGCCTTCCAACCCATCTGTGAAGACAATGTGACAACATCTATGCTAGGTCCTAACTGCACTGCAGTCAGCAATGAAAAAGAAACAACAAAACTCTGGGAGGTTATTTTTTGGCAAAGTTTCCTGCATTTCTTAGGGCTTCCCTACCTAGATCCTAGTGGCCACAGAGAGAAGACTCACTGCTCCACACACCCCAGAGCCAACTAATTAGAAAGATAATTGGGGAATTAGATTAAGGGTTTTTTCTCCTTCATTATCCTGTTGTTCCTCATCACAGCCCTTTCACTAACTGAAGTGTCTCTTTCCAGATTGCCCAGGCTGTGCAGATTGATTAATTTATGTCTTCTCCCAACCATACTGCTTTGGGGTTTGTAGTACTTCCTCAATAAAGCCCATCTTTCCAGCTCTGTGTTCAGCTCTGGCCTTCTTTTTAGTTCCCTCCTTTTTCAGGCTAGCTTCTATTATAAAGATGTCCCAAAAGGACCCAGGAGAACAACTGACACCACAGCACTCTTGGTATGTGCAAGACTCAAACCACTGTCAAATGAGCAGTACGTAGGGATTGCATTTACTTTCCCCTTTCAAACTCTACCTACAGCAAATCAACTGAAAGCAGGGAAAGCAGAAAACATTACTACAGAAGAGCCTTTTTATTCTTTAAACAATAAACAAACAAATACATGAGAAGCTTGGAAACAAAGAAAAAGCGAGCCACAACAGTCAAAGAGAAAGCAGTGCAACATGGCATGCATTTGCCTCAGCTCTTGCAAAGCACCTCAGTAAATTAGAATCCTTCATCCCTTTAAGCCAGCTCCACAAAGAAACTTCATTACAAATTAACAGTCCACAATTGCTGGTTTACATTCCCTCTGCCTATTTAGTCAACCAGGATCATGCTTTTGAAGGTGCCGGAAGAGAAAAACACACTGTGTGACAACAAGGAGGGGAACAACTGTACTTTGGTCTGCTTATCTTCTACCCTACTCTGCCACAAGCACAGAGGGAATGGGGACCATCACCTGTCTACAGTCTCTAGCTCACTGTGCCCTCACTGGAAAGCAGGAAACAGACCATCTGCAGAAGGTGCCCAGGGCTGAAAACATTTCTCTCCATAACTAGAGAGGAACCACATCAGGGTACACCTGAAGCTCTGCTGAAAGCAGCAGAAAAATTCTCACTGAAATCACTAGACCAAGATTTCATGTCTTAGATTTAACAAATAAGGCCTTTTCCAACAGAATCTGTTCTTCCCACTAACAAACTAACTTTGGGCAGAAAACCTTGAGTTTTTGAGAATCACTAAATTCCTCTCTTGTTTTTTGAGGAGACAGAAATCCTCCACAGCAGTTGGCTCACATTTCATTCTACCACAACACACCTTCAAAGAAGCCATCTTCATCCATGTCTCCATAGATGTAAATATATTCTCCAGCAGTCAGTGGAAGCTCTGCCTCTGGATTTTCATTAGGTCCATCAAAAGGATTGTAGCTGAAATATTTACAATATCAAGACTTACTTTGTAGAGTAACTTCACCAGCACCACACTCAAGCCATGATGGGAGATGAGTTTGCAACTCACTGGGACTGTATTCACATTTTGCAAACAGCAAATTCCACAGAAAAAGGTCTTGACTCTAGTTCATGGGTTTATACACAGCTAATAACATATTGCTCCATATTTAATTAGCAGCTAGGAATAATTTTCTGAGTAGCAGAACAGATTGGAATGACTCAAGAAAGCGCTGGAGAAAACATTTCAATTATCTGTGTGCCTGATGGGTTTCTGAGACTAACAATTAGGTTGCAGGACTCTTCATTTCTAAAATAGATACACTAAACTGACCTGGACCTTTCACTATTTTGTGTAGATAGCTCTCTGCATTTCATGCATTTAATAGTTTTGACTAAAAAAAAAATAAATATAGAAAATGCCCCAAACTTTCAAGATACACTTTACTTGCCATGACTGCCATGGGCAAGCACAGCAGGGAATCTCAAAATTGTCAACTTTAAAACCCTAAGAATGAGTTGATCTGTGCAAAAAGAGTGAAAGAGGCTTCTAAGCCTTTCTTCATAACCCGGCCTTCAAGATCCTCTCAGTGCTGCAACTCAGCATTTTAAACTGTCCAAGAGCTTCACTAGGTTAGATATTAGGAAGAGATTCTTCACTGTGAAGGTGGCAAGACTGTCCAGGCTGCCCAGAGAAGCTGTGGCTGCCCCATCCCTGGAAGTGTTGAAGGGCAGGTTGAATGGGGCTTGGAGCAACTTGGTCTGGTGGGAAGTGTCCCTGCCCATGCAGGGGACTGAACTAGATGATCCCTTCCAACCCAAACCAGTCTGGGATTCTATGAATCTGTGAAAATTTCTTGGATTATTCCAGAGAAATCAAATATTGTAAGGAATATGTCTATTCAAACTCAATTTTCCATCCAGTATTACACTAAAAAGAAGTTTCCCACAGTGCTGTTCACTGAATGAGGTTACCATGTTTTTGTTATGATAAGCACATTGGGTTTGTGCAGGAAAAAACTGGCCTCAAAAAAATCCCACAGAGGAACAAGATCCCCAGTGTAAGCTAATACCCACCCCTCAGACTGGTGAATCCCAGAGAAGCATGCGAAGTTGGCAATTGTGAGATAACCTGTCTAACATCAAGACCATAAGAAATGTCCCAGTACCTGTATCGAGCCAGGAACACCTGCAGCTTTGCAGGGCCTTGGCTGCCTTGCTCTGGCATCACAGAGATGCTGTCAACATCCAGTTCTTCCATTTCACTTGCAGTGTCCACCTAAAAAGATGAAAGAGGAGGGATATGATATGGCCCAAATCACAGAGAAGGAACACTCCAACAGTTTGAACATCAGGGAACAAGTCCTCTAAACTCTTCTATGGTGCCAGTCTGGCCACTGGGATAAGGACCAGCTGAAAAATTACTTCTAAGGTGAATAAGTAGCAATAAAAGGTAATAGATCTAAGCTGCAGCTTCAGGGGTTCCAGTCAGATATTAAGAAAAACTCCTTGATCAGGTGGGAGACAGGTTCCCATCAAGGTGGGGGATCTACATAAGAACCCAGAGCCTCTGCTAGGCAAAGCCATAGTCACACTGACCTAGTGTTGGTGACAGTCCCACTGGAGTAGGAGAATGGACTAGAGACTGGAGGCCCCTTCCACCCTACATATCCATAATTCGGTATATTCATTTCTTGCTTTGTCTAAATGGTGGTTGTCATGGGCTGCAACATAATTGGCAATCTGGCACAAAGGAGACTTTCCAGCTCTGTTAGATGCCTACACCTCCAAGCACTTTTGTCCAGGCAGCTCCCCTCCAGCACCTGCAAATGCCTCAATATAACATTTATGTACTTGCAGAACACTGAGAAGAGTTTTGGTTGGAACTGGCAGGGCCATCCAGTCCAAACTGCTGGCTCTGCTAACAGCCAGTAGAACATCCTGAAGGAAAACATGTAAGATACAGGGCTAGCATGAAATTCCTCTTCCTCAGCATGCTAAAAATAACAGTATAGAGCCATTGAATGCTTAAGGGTAGCTCAGATGTCATTAGAAAGCTCAGCAAGAATTTTCTCACATTTCTCACTGACTGACCTCCTGTGGGAAACTGTTCTTTTCTTCCCCACATAAGTCTGAACAACTCCACTCCTTCTCCAAGCTCCCAGCATTTCATCTAGGTAGTTGCTTCCTTTCTGGAGCACAGCAAGATGTCCACATGAGCACTGCATGGGCTAGCCAAGGCCTTTCTAGTTTTTCCTACAGCTTTTCTCATTTACTTCAGGCAGCAGGCAGGAATGAATGCAACATCAGTGGTGCTCTGAGCAATGTCTTTATTTCCTTGTGGCTAGATAGCTGAAACTGCAAAGGGTACTCTCATACTGACCTCTGGAGTTGGGCAGGATTTCGGACTGTTCTGCATGGATTCTGATTTTGAAGAATTTGACTGAGACTCCATTTTCTTGGCTTGTTTCTGTGAATTGGGAGCAGCAACTGGGGAACCAGCAGTGGCATCAGGCACTTGCTGCAATGACTCCAACTTAGTCTCTTCATTCTGAACCTTCTTTGCACTCTGGTGAGTGAGCAATCCAGGAACAGTTGATTCTGCAACAAAATCATCTGTCCATTACTCTTAGCCACTGGCAGAAAACAAGATCAGCAGAGAGCAAACACCCTTTAGAGCAGCTCAAGTCTCTAAAACTGTCACTCGTTTAACAGTGCACCAGACCAGACACCCTGGGCTCTCTTTGGTCTGATAAATGCTAAGTTATCTTTATGACTACAAAAGGAACCAGAGGTATTTACAAGAAAAGAGACAGAGATCCCAAAACTTAACCAAACATTTGCCTTATTTCCTTTACACCTTTCCATTTACACAAATAACAATTCATTTGTCAAAACACTGGCAGGCATCTCCAGAATTTACCCTTCTCCGAGTGGGACTGTGGGGTAGAGCTGCACAGAGCAAGAGGAAGCTCTGAAGTCACCAGTGTAGAGGTGAGAAGGTCGATTTTTCCTGTTTGAAGCCGGAATTGCTTGAGCTCCTGAGACAAGAGGCTGAACTGCTCTGTTTGACTGCGACACTGGTCCTCTAGATATTTCACCCGGGCCTGACAGGAGAGACACAAGATGAGGCATAAACACATCAAAACCACCAGTGAGGCTCCAAACAGCATTTGCCTTTGCTGCACCTTTTCAGTGGGTCTCAAACTGTAAGAACCTAAAGGAGTGCCCTGCACAGGAATGGTCAATAGAAACCAGCAGCTTCACTCCTACAGCATCTTTGAACACCTGAGACTCATCATCTATGAGGATACTGACTGGAAGCTCAAATTAGGCATTATTCCTGAAAAGCTCAGCTTGAACTTCAACATCCTGCCCAAGCCCTGCACAAGACTGGATGAGATAAGTTAAAGATAAATAAACATTGAAAAAGAAGAGACTGAAAAGGCTTTGCATGTTGATAGGAGCATTAAAATCATGTCTCCAAAATGACGTGCTCTCCCAATGCTCTGTCTTGTCCATCACTCCAGAGGCTACAACAAGCTCCTGAAATCTTCCTCTGGTGTCCCCCACCATTCTGGGCAGAACTCCTGATTGTCCCTCCAGACCCTGGCTCCTCCAGGCACCAGGAAGGGCAAAGAGTATCAGCACCCTGACCCATGATGCAGAACATTTCTCCGATGCAGGCAGCCCACACACTTTGCCACCAGATCCTACAGGGACAACTTGCTCCAGAAATGTATGCTGAGTAACAGAAAACTACATCTCAGCAAGAAAAGATGCAGAGGAGCCTCAGGGAAATACTGTGGAGAGGGAGGGACACATTCCTACTACAGAACCATTTATATTTTTTAGTATACTCTTTCAACCATCTCTAGATCTTCCCCTTTCAAAAGCTTGCTGAGCCCTGGCTGTCCTTACACATCCCCACAGACTCCCCAGTTGGAAGGATATCAGTTCCCAAAAGAATGCAACTGCTCCTTTTCCCTCTTCTCACTCTTCCATTGTGCAACATCTTACTCTGGCTTCCTCAACAGAGACCCTGTGCAGTTCATGCTCATGCACTTCAGGTGATAAGCGAGCAAACAGCATTAGTGCTGGATGGGAAGATACTACCTAATCAGCAGTTCTTCATCTGAGTTAATACAGACAGGACATAATTTAGCATTAGTGCATTTGGCTGAGGTGCAGGCCCTGCCTTGCAAGAAATTACTTTTTTTCCTTTTTTTTCTCTTTGGGCTGAGATCACACCAGGCTTTGTAGTCACTGATCTCATCATTTTGCATAGGTAAAATGCACCAACACAGAAAGCTGCACACAACTGTGCTCTTCAAAATTTTCCATTCTACAAAATGTTTTTGAAGTGTCTCTCTCCCTCCAACTATAAAATTAAATGTCTTCAAATATTCTGCGAGAAATTCTGGGGTTTAGGCAGCTATAAAAATAACATGTCACCTGGAAAAAGCTTTCTTCCTGGTCTCAGAATACCCCTAAAACTTTCTAGCCCATTCCTTATCAGCTTAGTAGGTTGTGTGAAATTTTATTTTACTGGGACATATCTGTTTTAAAACACATTAGTTGGCCACTTGTTTCCTTCACAATTAGCTGGGTGCTCTCAGTCTTTAAGGGAAGCCTGGTTAAATCTCTGCAGTCTGGCATGAAATACTTGTCTCTGAACTTGAAAGAGAATTTCAGATGCCACAAGCAACTTCCAGAAGCATCTGCATTCTCCACTGGCTCAGAGTCCACTCTTTGTTCACTAAGTCATGTTGTGCAGGCTTCCTCTGCAACTATGACTGCTGGAATTTACTTGCACTTAAGGTTTTGAACATAAATGCTTCTCCCGCAGGCATGACACCTTAATAGAAAAAAGAAACCATGAACAGTAAGAACAGTTGCACTGGATGAAAATAGGGTTTCCCCTCGACCAGCATCTGTCCCCCAGCTTGGGATGCAGCCCAATGATGATGATGACAAGAGGCAGGTACAGAACAACTGAAGGCCTAGAAAGGGTTTTTCTGTCTCATCTGGAGACCTGAGCCAGCAGATGTGTTTAACAGCATCCTAACAGTACCTTGGGTCTGTACATTTATTAATCACAGTTTAAATCAATTTATACTAGTGGCCAAGCCAATAGCCTGAATAATCCACAGTTTAATTCTGATATACCTAATTATTTGGGTGTATTGTGTTCTCGTGTTGTTTGAAATAATACACAAACCAACCCGGAGCATTAGTGCCACACCCTGTACAACATGTACTTCTAGCAGACTACCTGCAGAGGCTCAAACACAGCTGGGCAAGCAGCAAGTTTCCTTGACAGTGCTAGAAGGCTGTGGGTAAGGAAGAGGAACATGAGGAACATGAGGACATGGCCAGGAGTTGCAGGGAACCAGCAGGAATCAAGCCCCAGACACAGAAGAGAGGAGACACTTGTGTCTATGCTCTACCCAAAATGGGAAGAAAAAGGAGCTTCACACCACCTGAGAATGAACAGCATGGTTACCAGAAGAGGCTGCAAGAGCAGAGCTTGGTGGGCTCAGTTATACCAATTCAGGAACTTCCTCTAATTTTCCACTCCCAACTAGACCAAACCACCACCAGCTGAGTCCTGTCTTCTTACACACTCTCCTACTTGGCTGCTCTATTTTACTTCTCCTACAGATAACGTTCCCAACCAGACGTCCCTTGTTGCCTTTCTCTATATCTTCTGCTGTATGTTTTTGAGATCAGCAAAATCACAATTTTGCTGAAGGGAACTCTACAGGTCTGCAGTCCAAACTCCTGCCCAAAGCAGGACTAATGCCAAAGGGATTAAAGGAACATCCATAACTCCACACAAATATAGGCATACCCTAATAATGTCCTTGAGCTGTTCCAAATTACTTCCCTAAAAGTTCCCAACACGGTACTTGCCTTTTTGACCACACTTGTGAATTAGGCTGACATCTAAAAAAATATCCTGCCTCAAGCCTCATTTCTTGCCAAAACAGGGAATTCAGAGGCCAGTACAGTGAAAGTTGGGTCACAGCTGCCTCTCTTCCCTGTGCAGCACTTTGCACAGTCCATGTTACCTGGTATTTCATCTCCCTGTTACTCACGAGATCTCACAGCTCTTTGCAGTCAGATCAGAAGGTCCCAGTTGAAAACAGTTTTCTATCAGCTACAAATCCCATCCACTGCTTTCCAAACCACTTGTGACCAGGCCAGCTAGCACAGCTCCCAGACTGTGCCTTCATTAGTTTCTACCTCTTCTGTGAAAAGTCTTATTCACAATCTTTGCTTCCCATTGTCCTGGTTTGAGCCAGGATGAAGCCAATTTTCTTTTTACTGATTTTTTTTTTCCTTCACTAAGCTACCTTTTAACTAGCACAGCAAATTTTCCAGCTAGTGGACTGATACAGCTGGAATGTTTATGTTACTGCTGAGAGACCAAGGACACTCTACTCTGCTTTGGTTTTCAATGCATACATATAGACTTAAGACTCACTATCAAGTCAGGGATCATAAAAGTCAAGCCCCATCCCTGCTGCTTCTTCTCCCTTACATGGCAGGTGTCCAGCCCTGATGATCCCCCAACGCTTTCATTTGCAATGATATAGCCATTGTGTTTGGGTTTTGAAGGAAAACATTTCACTCTTGAACTGCATGCAATGGCCAAGACCATGTGACACATGGAGAAGATGCACTGTTGGGCAACTTCAAAATCTGGAAATGCCAAAAAAATTAAAGCTCCTAATTCTAGTAGATCAAGAAAGCAAAGCATTGAAACAGAAAAGCAGCTAATCCCTCAGACTCACACTGGTAGCTCCTTTAATTACATTTATTTCTTGGAGGTGACACTCTTGCAGTCTTTTCCAGAGTATAGTTAAAACACTACTATCAAGCAACTGTCAAAGTCAGGACAGACAAGAAAAATGTCCTGTTTGACAGGATTATAGCAGTACCTGCATGCAATCCAAAGTACTCTGGTAGCAAGAAGAAAAGTAAAAAGAGATAAAACCACATCAGCAGTTGCACTAGCCAAAACTCAGTCTGCCACAGATAACCCAACCCTCCACTTGAATTAAATGGTTTTCTCATCAACCTACAGTCTGCTTTGCTCCACACTGAGATTCCCACCTCCTTCCCAGATGCATTTCTTTGCTGAACAACAGCCAAACCCCACATACCAAATGCATGAACAAAACAATCACAGACTTTCTGAGAGCCTCCAAATCACAATATGCCTTGAGCGTCAGTGACAAATTTTGAGTCCTCTTTTCCCAGCATGTTGCAACCACCCATAAAATCCACAGAATGGACACTTAGACCAAAGAGTGCTGGGAACCTGGCATGACAACCTGTTCAGTCATGCATCCTGCTCCTGACTCAGGGGAAACAAGCCAAGTCGAGCTCTGCTCACCGAATTTCCCAACAAAAATCCTACACTGGACTTCTGAAATCAGGCTGTTGCCTTTTGCATTTATGCCATTCAAAAGGCAGTTGAGAATCTTGCCTCATGTACTTTGGAACCACTGCTTGATTCCTTCTTTCTCATGATCACAACTCGCAAGGTTTTCTTTCTAAGCTGGGCCAATCCTTCTATCCACAGTATTTCTGTGCACAGAAACTACTCCAGATCTCTCTACACACCCCAGAACCTGCTTCAACACACAACTACAGACTAGCTGAGGCTGGAAGGTAGCTCTGGAGATCCCTCCCTCAGCTCAAAGTAGGCTCAGCTAGAGCAGGTGGCCAAGAGCTTTGTCTAGTTGAGTTCTGAACATCTCCAAGGAGTGAGACTCCACTTATGACAATCATGTGACTGAACTCTTCCAACAGGGAAATGGACCACACTCACTCTTCAGTAATATTACATCAGAAAGTAATCCAAACACATCCAAAAATGACAATTCACAGTGTGGGCACCCCAAAACCGTTAATATTGCCCTACGCTGATGTTCTGGAATGACTATGATTACAGTTAAGTTATTTAGATGACTGTTACTCCACATTAAACTAACTTCTAATGACAGTTTATTTCTTCAGTCTACCTGGTGTCACTGATTTATAAAGTATCATTGCACCAGTAAGATGAAAGCAAGAACATCTAACTAATGAGGCCCTACAGAAGAATGCAACCAGCCTCTCAATCACCAAAACAAATGACTGTTCCTTTCTTCCTTTGCACAGGTAGATTACTAGTTTAAACCAAAGTAGCTTCTCCAGTCCTTCAATGAATTAGTTCAGAAAACATCTGGCAAGCATCAAACTTTCCTTCCCTATGAAGCCAGCTAAACACCAACTGACGTAAAAGCAGCAGCTGCACGACCTCTGATCTGTCCCTACAGTTGAAAGCAGGTGGCCCAGAAAGGACATGGTAACGAAGCAATACATAATGTCACTTCCCCATGATATTCACCCCGTCTGCAACAATTTTAATCCCATTTAGTAGGAGCCCAGAACTCTCAGGCTCTCCAGTTCCGTGACCCTTCAAAGAAGTTGCTATTTACAGCTATGGAGTTACCTCCTCCATGAAGGACACTTACCATCTTGTTCAACCCTCCTCTAACAGCCACCAAGCTGTTGCACAGCGGTGGACACAGGCAGTTCAGCCTGTCATCTCTGACTGCATGTCACCACTACAGACAGGGCCATGGCCTCATCAGCCTGAGGTTCCACTGCCAGATGTTGTACAGTGAGTCATTCTGCTTGGTCACAGATGTTTTAATACTCAGAAAACCTCAGCGGACTGAGTGAGCTCAGAAGCTGCCCCATTTGCCATCACACCTAAGCCAACTCTCTGGCAGCCACTAAACCACCACAGCAAGTTTCAGCATTTGGTGCTTCGCCTTTGCAGCTCCAGGAATTCACAGCCAAGGTTTTCTCCAAAGTCACCCTCATAAACACTGAGATACTGCAAATCAAAACCAACCCAGTGCTCCTCACACCTGCCAGGCTGCACTGTCACGCTGTTTGCCACCACAGTAAAGTGTATTCCATGTGGATGGCACAGCTCCTGCACTCCTGGTCCCAGTCTAGCAAGTGGGACCTGCCTCAAACTTCATCACCAGGTATCCTCAGGCAAAGATCACATTTTTCCCTTTTCTCTCCTATTTATAAGCAGAGAGCAAATTTACACAAAAGAAATTTCAAATTCCATGGATGCACTGTTTCTCCGTGCAGATAACCCCAGAAAATGTAGTGGGCAGATCCAAGTTTGGTTACTTAATTCAAGCCTGAAAGAGCCACTGGACACAATCTCAAAGCACTGTCCCATCTGGGGACTGAGCAGGCCAGGATTTTATCCTCAAAAACTTTTTGACCCCAGAGACTACTCTGCCAACACAACTGATATTTGTTCATGGCAGCAACGCATTGCATCTGATCAAGACGTTAAAGCATTTTGCTCAGGAACCAACAAAACCCAGGGCACCAAGAAAGCTGACAATAAGAACAAAATATACCAGACCTGCAGACCCTGCAAATGTGCATCTTGTTTCCTTCTGCCTTACCTCCAGTAGCTGTACTGCTCCTTCATGTTCTCTTTTTGCCTCTGCCTGTGCCTAAGAAGAAATAAGAAAGGGAGTAAGAATGCAGCCTACCGAAGTTCACTTCTACCATCACCACCACCTTGATAAGACCATTGCAGATTAAAACACAGACTGAACGTGTCTTTGCTCTTTGGACAAACACCAGCGGGAGATCAGAGCTGCCATTCATGAGAAAAGCCCTTCACTTTGTTCAGGCACTAGATTTCGCCCGGATGCAGACACTGTTCCCTTGTTTACTGTGACCTGTAAAATCACACGTACCACCTCCAGACACCATCGTTTCAAGGAAAGGTGCAGGAGTCGCATCACTTTCCAGGGATTCAGAGAGTAACTTGTCCATTCTCTCCCATGCTGCATACCTGCTGCAACCGTCTGACTTCCTCTTGCTTCTCCTGCAGGACTAGCAGAGCTTCCTTGTGCTCGACTTCCAGCTGCTGCCTTCGCTCAGCCACATTTCGCATGTGCTGCAGAACAATTCACAGACAGCTGAAGACTGACACTACTGAAATACTGTCCTGTGTCCTATCATGGGCCATGAAGTAAAAACATGGCCTGTATTTCATAGAATCGTAAAATGGTTTCGCTTGGAAGGGACCTTAAAGATCATCTAGTTCCAACACCCCTGCATGGGCAGGGACACCTCCCACTAGATCAGGTTGCTCAAGGCCCCATCCAACCTGGTCTTGAAGACCTTCAGGGAGGGGACATCCACAACCTCCCTGGGCAACCTGTTCCAACATCTCACCACCCTCACAGGAAAGAACTTTTTCCTAGTGTCCAACCTGAATCTCCCCTCTAAGTTTCAAACCATTGCCCCTTGTCCTCTCACTGCACACCTGTGTAAAAAGCCCTACCCCAGCTTTCTTGTAGGCTCCTTCAGATATTGGAAAGTTGCTATAAGGTCACCACGGAACTTCTCTTCTCTAGGCTGAACAACCTCAACTTCCTTAGCCTGTCTTCATACAGCAGGTGCTCCAGTCCTCTGGAGCCATCATTAAACAGAGGAGAAAGTAAGAAACTCTTATCACAAGTCAGACCAACAGAGTCAAAGGAAACCCTTCAATCTGTAAGGCCACTTTATTTCCCCTCCCAGCCAGACCCCTGAAACAGCATTTCTAAAGCATCTCTGCCCACTTTGGAAGGCCATGTTTCAGGATCCCGCAGAAGCAGAATTCCCAACAGAAGCCCAGAGACAAAAGAAAGGATAGAAAAAGGGAAGAGACAACATGTGCCAACCAAAAGCAGAATTAAATGTCTGGAGAGTCCTTCCAGCCATGTGGATCCTACTAACCTTCAGCACGTGCTCTAGATTCTCCAGCTTGGTTTGGAGTCCTTGGTTCGTCTGAATTACTGAATCTCGTTCCTTAGTAACCAAAACAACCTGCAATTTCAGGTGAGCATTCTCACATTCCACCTGAAGACAAAGGATTTTTAATTAGCACAAGCAGTCCTAGGTTATTCTTGTATAAATAACGGAGGACAATTTATTTCTGTATCTCAACAGGTTGTTCGGCAGACCTGCTTCCTACTTATAATGATACCAAAATAATGAAGCTCCCCTCCCTTCTGGCTTTCACTCCAAGAAAATACATAAGCATTTGTCTCAGTCCTCAACACTTTATTTGCATATGCTGCTCCTCCCACTAGACTCATTTCTACATCCCATTTGCAAGGAGAAGGGGACTGGGATACAGCCAGGCTATACACCAAAGAGATAGGAAGAAAGCACAGAGGTCTACAAGCTTTATTAATCCTAGATGGCAGAATTAAACAGAGAGAACAGTACAGACAGTTCAGCAG